TGTTTGCTTCTGAATGCTGTTTTTATGAAGCATTTGTACCTCAGCTCATTGATAGATACCTCTTCAGATCCGGTGTAACCATACAAATAAAGTATAAACTTATGACCGGCGTTGGAAACGCTTTCAGCTGTAGCGTTTGCGTCGTTAAATATTTTTATGAATGATGTAAAGCTTGGATTTTTTGTTAATGAAGTCAGAAATTTGTTTTTGCCTTTTCCAAAAAGGGCGCAGTTCGTGTCGCAGCCGCTGAAAGCGTGTAGGAAAAGAATGTTGTCGGCGATAGTTTCATTGCCAATACTGTCTCTGTTATACACTTTTCGAGGCATTTTCCCTTTGCCTGGCTTCATAAAGAAAACGTTTTGAATATTTTTGGAGTGGAATGCCAAGAGGACAAAGAGATCTATGTCTTCACCGACAATGAACACCAAATTTTCAGTCACCAACGCCTTTTCAATTGCTTTATTCACGATCAAGGTGTCTGCATCTTCCACTGCTTGCAAAACTTGAATACCTTCCGCTTCGAGATGATTTTTCATCATCCTAATTAATCGATTTTTATTTTTACTATTGGCTAAAAACTTTTCTTGAGACACGGTTGGTACCATACTTTCATTGAAAAGTATGTCTAAGGACATTTTTTTTCGTTCTCTTTGCATCCTTTCTACATGTTTCGTGTTTCGCTCGATTGCATTTTCAGGATATCCATCAAAAATGACCATAGAATCAGCGGAATAATGCGCTTTAACGTACTTGACATAGCTCTTGCAAATAGATAAGAAGGTGCTATTTCTAGGCCATACACAACGGTGCAGCAAGAACCCACCATCAACAACGAACGTTGCATTCTTTTCCATTATAACAGCAGAGCAAGGTGTAATCTTTCCATAAAGAGATGACTTTTGGGTTTTCCTCATCCCCGCTTCGGTAAACAGGGAAAGAGGAAACGGTGCAAGTTCAAAGGACAGAAAGCTTTTCAGTTCATCGTCCGATTTTTTGGCAATGCACATTCTAATCAATATTAATAGTGGATCAATAGGAATGACGTCACCATCAACTTCGATTGATGTTTTAAGGCAACTTAAGGGCTTGCAGCGATTTTTCCGCTGAAATTTCAGCGATTCGAAGTCTATATCAACAATTTTTAATAGCCCGCTAATACCTAGTTCCTCAGCCTTATGACAATCAATATGTTCATCAGCTATTATGCCAGAGTCTATACACATAAGATCATGATGGGGAAGGGAGGTGGGCTATTCTGCTGTGCTAAGGAAAAACGCCATTTAACAATTCGAGAGTTGCCAAATTTCCACGAATAAAACACGTATTGTTGAGAAAAGTTATTCATATTTCTCCATGAAATTTTCAGAATCAAATTGTGGACCAAACTTCCTGAAAAATTTGAAGAATATTATTCAAAATTTTCC